ATATATATATATATATATATATATATATATATATATATATATATATATATATATAATCAAATATCTTTAATCGATATCTTGATAACAACATTTCTCGTAATAATCCATCCTGACTCACGGATAGCATACTGACTCACAAATCATAATGAACGAATTAATGAAAGGGCCTAACAAAAGTGGTAGAGAAGACTTTGAAAATGCCATTTCCGACGATTTAGAGACACAAAATTTTCCCGCTCTGTGCCAACCATGGTGGCGCTTTGTGGGAGCCTACATAGGCCCTCTACGTTTATCAAGCTGGCTCCCCTGAGTGACCAAGTTGTGGTATCTACATAAACATACCAATCTATCTAGCTACAGCATAATGTAATGCTGTATATCCAAAAATCTGTTTCAGAAAATGCAGGATTTGCAGTCATAAGGGTAGAACAATACAAACATTTTCTGGGGGAGAATACCCCCAGACCCCCTACTATTAAATGCGACACCACACCAAACGTTTTGTTACCAACAACCATCTATCATTTCTCCACACTTGGTATAAATGTAGATCCCTTTATGGTCCACTGACGAATTCTTAAAAAATGCCCTGCACAATTTCGAGCTTTTCGTGAACTTCCATGAGATAGAAAAATGTTTTATATTTTTTATAATATAGCACAAAGAAATATAAAGATTAAAGAAAGAAATTTTCTGTGTTGACATTGAGTTATGTTAACACCGCTCTTAGCCAATCAGCGTTCACAATTAACAAATTATTTATCAAAATGCTATATTATAAATAAAAAAATGTAAATACAAAATGTACAGAAAGTTGTAGTTAGCTATTATCGATAAATTACAACAAATATATGAAACAAGTATGGACAAGTATTTTTTATGCACCCTTTAGGAATTTAAGCACCGAGAAAAAAGGTAAATACGTTATTTACCGTGGCCAGAACTTGAAGAATATCGGGGGCTATTTATACGTTTAAAAACCAAATCCCCCTATCGAGGACCTCTGCTTTTGGGGATTTTTACCCCTCTGGAATGCAGAAAAAGCTGTGTAATGAACCCCTCTGGACACTTGTACCCCCTCTGGAAGTGCAATTTTGCATTTTAACCCTTCTGGAAACAGCATATATTCGGATATTCCCCCCATTTTTCCCAATTACTCGTCTGGAGAAAACGACTAATTACCCCCCTTGGAAATCGAGGTCCTCGACAGGGGGGTTAAATGTAACAGCCCATTTTTTTCTTCGGTGACGGTCTCAGAAGCGTCCCTCGATCTTCGGTCTTTTCTTCTAAAAACATTTTTCAGTACGGAATTCCAGGCCACAAGTCACGAGAAGATTTAACTGAAGGCGCCGAAATTTCGTCCAGTCCAGACTTGACCTATACTGCTTCATGTTCTTGTTTGTGTACTATTTCTCATATAAGTACTACCATGATAGCTACATGCTAGACTGCTTAATTTAATTAAACGTGAGCTTTCGTTGGGAGGGATGCAACTATCTGAAAATAGTTATAACTGGCTGCTATAAACTACAGGGTGTATCAAAAAGCTGCAACATTTGAAATCAGATATTTTTATTCAACACTAATTGATCCCAGGGGTGCGTACGCACAGTAGAAATGAATTTCATGCTTGGGATGTACTGTACAAGCCTACAGGATGTCCCCAAATTAAAACAACTATGAAATAACGTATTGTTAGAAATTGACTGCCCTAGCACTAAGCTGAACGCAAAGATGGTCTCTCAACTGGAACCATCTGGAACTAATTGGATAAAGACAAAAGAAAAATTCGCTTCGCGCAAAAAAATTCGCAAGTGGAAAACCGGCTTTAGATTTTTATTACTCTAAGCGTTGAAACTAAAAATTTATAAATCAAGGAAAACAAACTCTTCTCTTCATTTGGACATAATTTATATAAATATTTTGTACACCCAACGAAAATGAATCGCTTTTTTTAGAAAATAAGAACCTATTTAAGAACCTGTTTAGCCTATAATTTCACTATAAGCACCATTTATATAAGTACCTGCAGGGACGCCGGAACTGGTGGGACAGGAGGGGCAGCCGCCTCCGTTGCCCATTACCAGGAGGGGCAAGGGGGGCAAAGGTGGCCTTTCGATTTAAAGGATTGCCTTGGCGAAATAGCGAATTGTCAGAAATGTTAGTGCAATTCTTTTACGAATTTGCCGACAGAAAACGCAAGAAATGCAGTCATCGAGCTTCAAGAATAGCACATGCAATCGCCTGGCGGAGAATCCCCTCACACCCCTATCATCCAATAAATAGAAAACATGATTAGGCGAAGTTCAACTCCCGATGTTTTGCAAACATCCCTTAGGGAAAGTACATTTATTATGCCGAGGGGGGGGGGATGAAGATGTTAAGGGGGGGCTCCGAAATATTTTCTGGCATTAAAGGGGGGGCTCTGAAAGTTCTTGATATACTGAAGGGGGGGCTCTAAACTTTTCAAAGGTTTGACCCCAGCAAATTAAAGTTAAAATTTTTACATCAGTTTCAGGTAAAATTTGCGTAATAAAGTAATTATTTTTGTGAAATGATAACCATTTTTGTAAAATACAGTCAATTTACATGCAATTTGTTTGCGAAATTTGCTTTAGAAAACGCCAGAAATTCAGTCCTAGAGCTTCGAAAATGTAAAAAATTTCTAGGGGAGGACCCCCGGACCCCCCTTTTCTCCCAAAACTTAGTATAAGAGTGCCAATCAATCACAAAAAGCTTTATTATAATTATTACATGTATAATCCTCTGACACCCCCCACCCCAAACGTCAGATGCTTTGCTACATCCCTGATGGTTGTATTCGAAACCGATTTCAGTTTTAAGATATCCTTAGTCTGCTCTTCTAAATGGATACATGAAATCACCTATAGCTTATTTTAAATTTTTTTGCGCCAGGTTTGTGAAGTAATTTACGCGCCAAAAAGCAAAAAAGCATATACCATTTGCAAGAATGATATGTTCTATGTTTATGGGATATTTCGTACAAACGGGATGGAAATTAAAGAAATTGAAGCATACTGGCACTTTTGCATGCATTTTTGACAGGCATGCAAAGACATTTGCAACAGATGCCGGGAGATACGTTGGGTGGGGGCAACATACTGTAAGGTTCCAGCACATTACCCTGATCCAGGAAATCCTGGCCACTACATGAACGTGTTCAAGACTCTGAATACGCTGAATGATGGACAACAACAACCTGTTAATAATTCCACCCCTAGAGCCAATTTAAAATGTTTTAAAGACGATGCCATTTCATCTGGCGCTAGTGAGATGAAAGAAGCAGCAGATCGGTAGTTTTGTTGAGGAGAAGCACTTGAGTATATCAGACATCTTGAGGAACTGCAAATTGTATCTATGATAAGAGAGAATTCCGAATTGTACCCCTTCGATTCCGAATTCTAGAGGGGGGGGGGGCATTGAAAATTTTAAAAACTTGGAGGGGGGCATCGAAATTTACCGATAACCTCAACAGGGGCCCTGTAAAAATATGAGCTTTTTTCAAGACTTCTTCATCGCCCTCCCTCGGTGTAATAAATGTACTTTCCCTTAGTATATATCAATTCAAAAGTGCCCTTTCACGCCGAAAATCTGCCCCCCTTTCCTTCACATCGTTCCGACGTCCCTGAGTACCTGTTTAGGCTAAATTGAAAAATCTAGGCTCTAATATACGCGGGGATTTACTGTATTTGCATCTCTACCAACGACAGCTTTGTTATTATTGACACCATCTACACTGCACAGACAGTGCTTTAAACCTGTTTATTGTTAACTGTGCTGAAGTTCCTTTGTAGGAAACTGGTGAACTTGGCTCAACTTGCTGGTTATTCATCACGTTCTTCGTCGTGGGCGTCCAATCTACATGTAAGCTGCTCATCTAAAGAAAAAAGAACATCACGAGAAAATCAGTACATTGAGCACTGGAGCGCTTTAGATTTTATTACGAGTACGAGTGTACGACTACCAGATTCGTTGTTTGCATTTTATGGCTGTTTAAACTAATGGGTCATCAAACATTGATATTGATACTTACAGGGCTGTAACAGTTACTCATTTTTTGGAACTAGTTACAGTTACATTCCCAAAAAAGGAACTAGTTACTGGTAAAAGTTACACTTAGAAAAATGTAACTAGTTCCCGTTACAAAATTACTTCAATACTTTTGTAACTAGTTACAAGTTACTTCAAGTAAGAAAAAACCCAGTTTTTTCAACTTAATGATTAGTGGTCAGCAGATTGACGTTAATTATTTGTAAACGTTACGTAACCTTACCACTAATGGATCTCTCAGCTGTGTTAAGCACTAGCTTAGAAAACCGTGAGGAGAGGCCAAAATGTAACTCGCAAAGGTCCAGACACACCAGACGAGAATCGACAACGCGACGCGATTTTTTAGTTTTTGAAAGTTAATAAAACAGCCAATGAGAGCAAATTTTGAAAGGTATGTAGACCAAATAACTGAAAATGTTATAACGCTTCTAAATATTTGGAAAATTTAAACTAGGATCAAAGTTATCGTTCATTGAAAATCGAAAAATCGCGTCGCGATTATTTTTTTAAGGTAACTAGTTACCGTTATAGTTACTCAAAAAGTAACGATTACTTGTAATTTCGTTACTTGTAGCGAAGTTACTTACAGCACTGGATACTTAGCATTAATGCATGTTTTTATTACGCACTAATAACTTGCTGTGAAACATCTGGGACACATGCAGCTAATTCTATTTTTTGCAGACCCTGTATGGTACATGAACTACCTCCTCCGCAAGCCCTTTTGCCGGCGGTGGGTACATGAAAGAATATTTTATCATCTCGCTCAGTAGAAGTATAGAACTCAATGCACTGTCGTCCCCAGAGCCATATTCACTCGACACTCGGTCACCCGTTGAAAATTTAGCTCTGGGTTAGACGACTAAAGGGAGAGATCTGATGGGCTTCTCAGAGAAATGCTATTTCGCAGAAGTTGAGCAGTTTTCGCTAGGCAAATTTTTCTATCAACATATGTCAATAATACTTCGTTTCTTCGTAATACTTCACTGTGAAAATTGTTACGGGTGCTAAAGCGTCCCAATTCAAGCGCATGCGCTACTGCAAGTTTTCTTGAACTTCCGATTCCGTGTGTCCCAGGGCCTAGGGAGAACGCGCGCGGCTGAGAGACCTTCGGGACGAGCAGTGGCGTAGCCAGCCCGACGATTTGGTCCCGCTACATCCTCGTCCCCAGGGCCACGCTCGTTCCTTGGGCTCAGTCATTCTCGTACCCAGAGCCCTTCTTACGCGCGTTCGACCGAGCACGACGAGGGGCTCGGGCCAAATCCATAACCGGATACCATAAAAACATGGTATCCGGTTAAACACTGCGCATGCTCAACGCAGTGTGACCAGACGTGGTAATTTCATTACTACCGTGGTAATTTTTCGTCATTTTTGGACAATTGTTGTAATTGGAAATTTGTGGTAATTACTACGGTAATTTCAGAACTACCGTGGTAATTTTTCGTCAATTTCGGCCGATTGTGGTAATTTGAAATTTCCTGACCTTAAATGTACAGATTTTGGTGAAAAACCCCTAAATTTTACAGATTTTGGTGGAAAAAACTGGTTTTTAGGCCGAAAAAACCTGTTTTGGCGTTGTTTTACTTATTATTTTTCCGGAAAAAATTTTTTGACCCTAATTTACGAGGAAGTTGTCCGGAAAGGTTTTTGTCCGGAAAATTTTTTTTGCCGCTCGCCAACATTTTTGGGGAATTTTTCGAAAAAATATGGTAAAATTGGGAAAATATAGCACCGTGGTAATTTCAGACCGAAAATAGTAATTTTTGAAACCGGATGTGGTAATTTGCCCTGAAAAAACCTGGTCACACTGGCTCAACGTCAAACGCGGATAAACACTTCGGCTTTCTTGTTTGTTTCGTTTTGAAAGTTTTTCTCCAGGAAAACCCCACAAAAGCGGTAGGTTTCGCTAATTTTATTTATTTAAATCAATTAGTAGGTAAGACGTGATGTTCTCAATGCATGTTGATAAAAATTTAGTATATATTTCCCTCTTAAACGTTGCCAAAGCAGTAATGGCTACGGATACGAAGACGAGAGATTGTCTCACTATTTTATATTCGATTTTAAGTCGCTGTTGTACAGATTTTTAGACTTTTTCGTGTTTTATTAAAAGTCAACAGTTATACATAAGACATACTATACTGCAAATCATTTGAAAATTGTAAAAAATCGGTTTCTAGGAAGAAAATAGTCATCACAATTAACTTCATATTCTGGCTGGCTTTAATATTTTCTCTTCAGATGGCACTTCAGCTTTGAACATGTAACACAGATTTGTTTGATTAACATCACTGATTTGGAAATACGACGAGCATCTGCCATAAATACGCTGACTTTTTGCTATGAGGACATCACGTCTCAACCTATTAATTTCAATCAACTAATTGATTTAAATAAATAAAATTAGCGACATCTACCGCTTTTGTGGGCGATTATCAACAACAATCTTCCTAACTGCTTCGTACTGCTGTTCTTTCAACTTTAATAATGTCTTTTCTCCCAATTTTCAAAGGGAAACCAACGCTTCGTGGAGCGCTTGTGTATTTTTATTCATATTTACTATAATAAACCATGTATTTCGTTGTGGCCAATCAGAAGCCAGTTTGATATGGATTTGGCCAGAGCCCCTCGTCGTGCTCGGTCGAACGCGCGTAAGAAGGGCTCTGGGTACGAGAATGGGGCTCAGTGGGCGAGAGTAACGAGCGTGACCCTGGGGACGAGGATATGGTCCCGCTATGCAAATTTCAACTCATCATTATTCATCTCTTTAGAACTTGATTGTGTTGATAGTTTATAAACATGGCAATATTTTGCACAGCGGGGCTGACTGGGCTGCCTTCGCCACTGGGGACGAGGATGATTAACGTTGAAAAGGTTCTGTTATGGACAGTTTCAGCAAAACTTACAGAAAATACATCTGTTTAAAACAAACCAGTACAGCTGCATGCAGCGCTCTGACCACTATATATGCAGGTACCAGCCTAGTCCCAGGCTCTCTCTCTCTATTCGCTGCTTTGACATATTTAAATGAGTCTTAAAAGTTTTATGCCTGGGTGTGCTGTGCGGAACGCTTCAGCGAGAGAGCCTAGCAGATTTCGGTAAAATGGTCCCTGATTTCAAAAAAGTGGTCCCTGGCCTGGTTACCAAGCATACCGCATTTGTAAATAGAAAATGTTATGGAAATTTCCTTTGCGTTTATAATTAAGTCATTCGTTCTGCTCTAATGCTGTCGGAACAATGAAATAGGCTACGTTTCTCTACCATACGGTCAGAATGGATTAACTGGCTAAATATGACTCGTGTTTACTAAAATTTTAAGCCATATTAAATGATATCTAGAAGCTTGAAAATTATGCCGAGTCTCCGACTAAAAATGTTTTGACAACACAGTCATGTGAGGCAAATATTTCCAATCTCCTCAGCTACTTAAAACTGTCAACTAGAAAACGTAGTTGTGTATACCAGTATCATGGTCTAGTGTTGATTACAACTTGCGAGTATATAAATATCATCAACGATTATACGACCATTGCTCAGACTCAGTATCGTAAATTTGTATATATTTTTTAATTGAGCACATTTTTAATACAGTTTGAATTTGGTTATATAGACATCGAACATGATCAACGAACATTGTCGTATTTATACAAAGTTATTTGTATATATAAATTTTCCGCCATATTAAAAATACTGAAATCTGCTAGGCGTTCTGAAGCACCTCTAGCGGTGACGTCACACCTAGGTCCCAGTCTCTTACTACATCTTGCTTCAGAACGACTGGGACTAGGCTGTGCAGGTACATAGTATAGTTTCCAAGAACGTTCTTGTATATATAAACTGGGGGTGATGCCAATGTATGGTATAAAGGGTGCATGAATATTAAGATTTCTGGGAGTATATGACTCGATAAAACGGAATGCTGAAGGATTGTTGAAGATGAATCTGAGACAACTGATTTGTTGGTTGTTTTAATCTATTTGTTTTTACCATGTTCGAGCCAAAATTATGTACTGTTTAATAAACGAACGGCAGTGTTTTATTAGGTTTAAAGCCATGCACGAGCGCGCAGCGCGAGTGGCTTTAGACCTAATAAAACACATCCTGCGAGTTTATTAAACGGCTTCAAACACGACTACAATGCAAATTCAATAGATATACTGTCTTATTAGTATTCTTTATATAAAGAATACTAACGAGGACATGACTATACGTCAATAGACACTGCACGTGACATATTATGGATCACAATCATGATTTTCCAATAAGCTTATGAATTATTATTGAGTGTTTGAAACATATATACTTGACAAATAGATATGATTTTGCCGTTGTCTTTTCAGTTACAGATACATACTTACATACAGGGTGTATAAAAAAAACGCAACCTCGGAATTTCCTAAGAAATCCACTTTGCAATTCTTAAGCATAAAAGATTTTAGGCCCCTGGGAATTGAAATCGGATTGCTATTAGATCATATTACTGTTGTTGTACTGTACTTGTAAAATAAAAACTTATTAAATGTCATTAAATAAATGCATAAATTTTGCTTTATGCACTCGCGTGTGCAGTAATTTTGACAGTTGTGCTATTTTAAATTCCCAGGCACCTAAAAAAGCAGGCCCAAGACCAATTTTAAATAATCACGTCTTTCAGTTTCTAAGATTTTCCAATTGCGGGTTTCGAAAACGTCAGCTGTCCTCTTAAGTTGCTCCCGTGATCACTTTTGCTGCAGGGTAATCGGAAAAGTTAATTGTCCTTTAAAAATGTTTAAAGGGTTTTTATTGGCGGACATGTCGAGCGAAAATTATAAAGCCAGTAAATATCTGACCGAGAGAAGCAGCTGCGAAAAATGCCGTCTGACAGCAAACAGCTCAGTGCATTTTTTTAAGGATTCTCTAGTGGTGGGGCAAAAATGCCGAAGGACCAATTTTCCTTGCTTTCCCCCCAGCAGGGTTTATTTTAACGTGCAGTTCTACACAAAATGTGCAGTTCTAAACCGATTTGTGCAGTTCTAAAAACTGAAATGTGCAGTTAAAAAAAATAACGAAAATATAACCCCAAAACAATCTTCTCATTTACTCGCTTTGCTTGTGGATGCTGAGATGATCCAATGCAATATTGGCTTATTATAAAAATAAATGGAAGAAATTCTGTCAATTTTTGTGGAAATTGTGTGAATTTTGATGTTGCGGAAAATTTTTTGCCCCCTAAAATGGTACACTGACCGAAATTGTTTTGGCGACGGGGGGGGGGCGTGGTCGCCAAAATTTATTTGTTCGAGAAAAATTTTTTTCGTCACTTCAAACAAATTTCTAACCCAAATTTCGTAACATCCCTAATATGTGCAGTTCTAAATTTTTCTTAGAATAAACCCTGCCCCCCAGGATAGTATGCGATTGCCGAAGGTGTGAACCGAGTACCGCAGGTACGAGTTAGTTATAGGCAGTGCCGGATTAACCTTTCCGGTGCCGGGGGCAATACTATACTATTTTAAGAGCCGATCACAATTGCGAATACGCCCGTGGCAGTGAAATATATAAAACTCATATTTCAGTTCCTCCGCTTAGGAATGTATGTCGTATGGTTGGAATATTTTATATTATAAAAATGCGCGTGTGAGTGTTTGTTTTTTTATTCCAACACAGTATTACATTGCATATATATTTGTTACCGTAAACACTGGGTTAAGCTCTGGGTTAAGTGAGGTTGTTGTAACCAACGAGTTTAATTATTCGATGTCACATAGGAAAACTATAAATTATTTTTTATTCGTCATTTTTTTGGGCCGGTGGAAATCTAGGGCCGGTGGCAAATGCCCGTTTTGCCCATTAGAAAATCCGGCACTGTAGCTATAGGGGGTCTGGGGGCATGGCCCCCAGGAAATTTTTAAAATTTGGGTCTCTCAAATAGCATTTCCTGCATTTTGAAAATCATTTTTAAAAAATCTCAGCTTCTCAAAACAAAGTTTCAATGGTGAAATTTGTAATAAATTGCATACTAAAATTCAAACACAACATAAGTTTAAGTATGCTCACCAACAAATTTTGTTTTTTAAACTTCTTTTCAATGTTAAACTCATCACTCAATACAGGTCCTAGGGCCCTGGCTTTGGGACATTTGGCCATATTTTTCTTCAGTGGTGGGGCAGGGGAAGGGACCCAGTGGGGCAAAAACCCCACCAGTCCATAGTGTTAAAAAATGCCTTGAAACAGCTGGAGCAGCTGCCTGGGAGCCTATGGTTTAATACGCAACACAGCTGTTCTCGGTCATGTCTAAGAAGATTTATATAATAACGTTAAGAATTCAAGCGGCGCTTTCAATGGACGAGAGCCATGCTAATTAGTCTCAGGACAGACGCACAGAATTACATCACACGTATTCCCTTATTCGTATAGATCATGTACGCGTGATATTTGTAAAATTTCGACTTTTTCAAATTTCCAAATGTTTGGGTGGATAAAAAGTAAGCTATTTACCTTGTTTAATTTGGGTTTTTTCGTTTAGTAAATAAAACAAATAGATACGATTTTGCCGTTGTCTGTTCAGTTATAGATACTTCGCCTCGGCGGCTCGTGAGCCACTTTTTTGTTCTTCCCACATTATGGCGCCATATTGTGTATGTATACAGGCGCCATATTGTGTATGTATACAGGCGCCATATTGTGTATGTGTATAAAAAAAATGTACACCCTTTCAAATTCAAATCAGCCATAACCTTTTAATTTAAATATTCGTTGCTCTGCAGTAAGCTGGCCATTTTATATCTTATGCAGACTTGAATAATGCATAGTTTAAACATTTTTCTTTGAGTTGTGTGTTTCGGTCCATACAAATAAAAATTATCCTAAATTCCCATGTGCAGAAGACCTTGTGTTTTCACGCACTCATTAATTCGAGAAATTATACGACTGTCAAATTACTACAATAGATTACGGTTAATTTCAATTTGAATTTGAAAGGGTGTACATTTTTTATATACCCTGTATATTATGACTATAACAACTATATGAAAAATTAAATAATCTTTTAATTACCGATTTGTTCCATTTCCATTCCGTTTTCTTCGTTTACTGCGCCCACATTGCGCCTGCGTAGTAACTAAAAAATTGTTATTATCACTATTAATATTATGTACCAAAAACATTGAAATCTACAGTATATATGCAGGGGCGTAGGAACCGGGAGGCGGGGGCAATCGGGGCTAGCCCCCCCCCCCAAGTTTTCAGAAGACACAAAAAGTGCCCTCTTTCCGGTGGAGAAGATCAGGCATTTTTAATTGCACACTAATGCATGTCAGTGGCTTCTGATTTGCTGAAATATTGTTTCTCGTGCATGTAGCTATATGTAATATGGTAATTGTTGGAAAAATGTTGTTTATTGAGCTCGTTAATACGTTATATCTTCTAACAAATTCGGTTACCCAGACTTTTTTTCTAATTTTACTGTAAACATGTCATCCATTTTCAAGCCTGGGAAGATTCAGTAAATTTTCATATTAATTGAAAATGGCCATTTTCTGTCGTAATAAGACAAGCATTATCGCCGTGCCGTCCAGCATGCCAACCATTAATTTTAATTATCAATGTTGTATGATTTTAATAACACAACGTAATATCTTCGGGAATGTTATGCCCATAGCGGTTACTAACACTATACCACCATGCAGTCTACCACAGCTTTGAGATCAGTGTCTTTACACTCCCGAATCGGGAGTGTAAAGACACTGATCTCAAAGCTGTGATGGACTGCATGGTGGTATAATGTTAGTAACCGCTATGGGCATAACATTTTGTGGTGTAACCATATGCACGAAATTTATCTACTGTTGTGCTGCTGACTTGTTAGAAGAAGTTTTTTCCGTGGTCATCAGCAGGCTGGGCCGTAGCGAGGGGGTGGGGGTGGGAGGGGTTTACCCCCCCCCCCCCAACGTTTTTAGAATTAACATATTCGGAAAATCGGGTTGGCCATTCGGGAAATTACGGCAATAATAGCATAACAAAATTTTAATTGTTAAACCGGAGAAAATATTATAGAATTGTATTGTCAGTATAAATTGTAAATTTCTACATACTAAAATGCTGTTTCTGACCATTAGAATTCTGTCAAACTGTCTTCCCCAAAGTCCAGGAAATGGCATTTCAGAGACTCTAAATTTAAAATTTCCTCGGGCCTGCGGCCCTCGTTTTCACCCCCCTCCCACAATCAAAAAGAGCTTCCTACGGCACTGCCTTCGTGGCTTCGTATGCCATGGGAGATTCGGAAATTTCTTTCGTCATTCGAAATTTTGCCTGACACCTCTCCCTGCCCGGACACTACACCCCCAACTATGCATGCTAGCTACGGCCCTGTCAGCAGGCTTCACAAACTCATTAGAAGAGTATGGGAATCATATTTTTCTAGTTACATAAGAAAATATATGTGTTTGATAGTGAAACTAATAATAGTGAAATGTGAATACTATATTTGCTCTATGTTTATCAAGGACGGCGGAACAGGGAGATAGGGGGATTATACCCCCCCCCCCCCAGCAGTACAAGTGTGGAGGTGGCTAAGCTAAACAGTAAAATGAAGATTTTTGATCGCTGCCTACAAGGCAAAGTGAACAAAACTACCAACATTGTGGTCAATGAAATATTCCTTACATTAATTTAAACTAGGGGAGGGAGCTTCAGAACATTTTTCACACTGGGCTAATGGTTTAAAAAGCGCAACATGAGCTCCACCTTTGAATTTACTCCGAGTAAATTGTTAAACACGTGCGAATTTATCAATGTATTAATAAACTGCTTGTGTGATGTTACTCTGAGTGTATATCCACACCGGGCAGGCTTGAAAAATATGCCTGGCCACGGTGGGATTCGAACCTACGACCTTTGGAATGCTAGCCCAATGCTCTGCCAACTGAGCTACGCGCCGGTCAGGTATGTATGTATGTATGTATGTAAACTTTATTTAAAGACGTTAGCCTCGTCAACGATTTGTTGATTTTCACGAGGGACGTCTGTTACTATTAAAAATTACAAATATGATATAGAAAAGAATAAAGAATTATATACAACTATTTACAATACAAGAATTAAGTTCCAAACGGTGTGACCCATATTTCTAAAGCATGCATATACAGTATATTAGAAGATGTTAGCATGAATCTTTCAGGCAGTTTTTAAAAGAATAAATTGATTGCGCTAGCTTCGCATCAGAAGGAAGACCATTCCACAATTTAGCTCCGCTATATTTAAAGCTTTTTTTTAGAAATTCTCGTTTTGGCTTAGCAAGGGTAAGGTCAGTATAAGTATTGCGAAGATTATAACTGGTTTGAACAAGGTCCCTTCTCATTAGAGCATCCTTCAAGTTCGGCCCAGCGCAATCATTCAGGACTTTATACATTAATGTGGATTTAGTTGTACGTTGTCTTATCTCTAAATTTTCCCAAGCAAGGGATCGAAGAACATCAGCAGACCTTATTTCATAGCTGGCGCCGGTTATAATTCTCGCTGCACGGTTTTGGAACTTTTGAAGCTTATCTTTCAGCTGTTGGTTACAGACGTCCCATAATGGACTACAATAATCAAAATACGGTTCTATC